GGAGGAAGGTAGAATCTCCACTGTGTAGTATCTAATCTGTCTGGGTGGGGCTGATGAAAGGAGATGTGAATAGGTCTCTTGTGATAAAATAGTGAATAATTGTTACCAGGACTGATTGTGAGGGTTGGAAATTTAAAGGTAGACTTTTTGTAGCAAGGAAGAGAGTGATTAACTTTGCAGTCTAGTAGCGCAAGTCCCTGGGACCATGAAGGGAGAAGAGTGGAGAGCAGGGCCCTACCCAGAGAAGCTGTGATGCCACAGATGGAAGCAGAGATGATGATATGGAGAGATGGGGCAGCTGGGGACTTTAGAACCAGAGAGGGAGAGGGGCTGTGTGCTGACAACCAGGGGGCAGGCTTGTAGGGTATACCCTTTGGTTGGTTGATGATGCATGGAGGGGACTGTAACCATGGCAATGAAATGATATAGTATAGGATGAATGTAAAGCTAATGTTTTCCCATGTAAACTAGCACATAATTCACAATAAAATAGTTTTGTTGTTTTTTTTTAAATGGAGGATGACCACATCAGATCACAAAATGAATGGCTATATTACTGCAAATCTCACCATTACATAGCTGCCAACTTACATATAATTATGTAACTGCCAAATCACTGAGAATCAAAGCCCAGCCAAGTTTTTAAATCTTATTTTAAATAAAGTGTGGAAATGAAAGAAGAAGAAAAAAACACTATTGAATATAGAGAGGCCAAGGTTTATTAGTGACTACCAAGTCCTGGGTGCTGTAGTTTAATGCATTGAACTGCAAAGTCAGTTTGAACCACAAGGTCAGCAGTTCAAGCTCACCAGCCACTCCTTGGAAACCCTATACAGCGTTGCTATGAGTCAGCACCAACTTGATGGCACTTAACAACAACTAAGTCCAGGAAGGAGGGAAAAGCAAGGGTTAACAGTGATGGAAAAATCACACTGAGTAAGGAGAGGGCTGCACAGCCAATTATTGCAATTGCTGTGAATATGTTGTACACCATAAAAAACTGAGTTTGCAAAAGTTCTATGCTAGATATACGAGGGAACTTCAAAGAGTTCATGGAAAAATGGAATTAAAATATAATGGAATTTTCCTGTGAACTTTTTGAAGCCCTCTTGTATGTCTGACAACAAGAAAAGAGAGCAATTGATGAGGCTATTTATGCACAAACATCTCATGAGATTTGGTGACTTGTTTTGAAGAATTCGAGCCATGGGACCACCCAGTTAATTCACCTTAATAGCAATGTTTAGTGCTTCTGTTCTACTTCTTAGTCATTTAGTGTGCCTGGCGTCTTACCAGCCTCCAAGTAGCCATCCAAGGCCCAACAGTTGGTATCTATTCACCTGGAACAACAAAGGACAGTCCAGAATAAGGAAT